AGAAATGATCAATTCCAGGGTTGGGTCAGGAAAAAATACAAAAGGGGCCTAGAATGATCTGTGGAAGAACGTACAGGAGTGCAAAAAGAAAGATGGAGTGTTAAATGGCCATGTTTTGTTAAACATATTTTTACCATGATAAAACAGTTTTTAATTAAATGTACAGCTGAAAGGAAAAAAGAGAGAGGATGATGACGGTGTGAGAAAAGGAGCTACCTTCAAGGGGTTCATCCTGGCCAAGTCGAAGACACTTTGAGCATCAAATCCATAATGATGGTAATGAAGTTTAACCCACTGAGTAGAGCAATAACCCACCTCCACTCACGAGCTCACTGCGGACTCATAGCAACCGGTCACCGTGGGACAGTCCCTGTGAACTTCCACGGCTGCACACAGAAAGCCTCCTCTACCTCCCACAGAGCAGCCAGTGGCTCCAGCTGCTGGCCTCGAGGCTAGCAGCCTGCCTCATAGACCACGATGACACCAAGGCTCGTCAGTAATCCACCTATAATAATCATAGTCCCTACTTAGTTAAGTAAATACATGGATGGGGATGAGAGAAAGCTGTTCTTCAATTAGAATGCCAACGAGGACGTGTAGAAAGAACGATGGAGCATTTCTCTTCTTCTTGGGTACCATCGAGGTGATGCTGACGCACAGCAGCCTCACGTACAGCAGAACGAACCACGAGGCGGTTCCGCCCCATCCTCAGCACCGTTCTTAAGTTTGCGTCCATTGTTGCAGCCACCGTGTCACTCCACCGTGTCGAGGGCCTTTCTCTTTTCACCGCACCTCTGCCAAGCATGATGTCCTTTCCAAGGACTGGTCTCTCCTGAGACCAGGTCCAAAGTACAGGAGACAAAGACTCACTGTCCCTACCTCTAAGAGGCATTCTCCCAACACAGTTCGGTTCATCCTTTCAACACTGCACTGTACCTCCAAAACTCGTTACCAACATCCTAAACTAACTGCAATGTGTCTTCTTCGGTCTTCCGTGTCCAACTTCCACAGCCACAGGAGGCGATTGAAAATACCATGGCGTGGGTCAGGCACACCTTAGTCCTCAAAGGAACCTCCTTGCTTTTCAACACTTTAAAGAGAAACATGACTGGATGACGAAGGTTTGAGGAGGCATGGGAACAGGAAGTACAAAGAGAAAAAAGTTAA